AGTGAGTCAGGGCCCAGAGGTCATAAAGGGGATTAACAATCAAACTATTATCAGAGATCCAGAGTCTACAAAATCTATCCATGCCCAGAAAAGTTCGAAATTATTTCTTAGTGGCTGGGACCGGGAGTTGGTGGCCCAGAAACTTTACAGGCTGTAATGCTATCTGGACTTTGTTCAAAGAGACCCTAGAGCCTTGAGTTCCCAAGAAATTAAGCACTCTTGAGGCAGAGAACAAAGAAGTCTCCTGGGTGGGGCTAGAAATACGGGGAAAGGAAAATACTTTAGGGTCTCGGAGGTGAACAACAGCTGGGGTGGCAAAAGTATCCCAAATTGTCTCCCACACTTCCAGGGGAACATGGGGAGGTCTGGCACACAGAGGGAAAAGGGAGATGGGAGGCTTAACTAGAGAAAATTGGCTCTCCAACCTCACCATCAGTTTCCTTCCCAACGAGGGGGCAGGGCAAGAGGAGAGTATAAGAGAGGAGTGTTTAAACAACAGATTCTCAAATAGGCAGGGGGAGGGGTATGTCTGGAGACATCCCTCAGTTACCTCCTGAATGCCCGTGACCCGATGGGTCAAGGAGCAAATAGGGCCAGAGTAATTGGTTAAAGCAAAGAACATAACCATGATATGGTGGGTAACCTTACCTTCAGCCTCAATTTCTGCCCAGGGCTTGGCGAGAGACACGGAGAAAGTGGGAGTGTTGCCCGGACCCAGGTTCCTTTGTCCTCCCCAGTCTTGAGAAGACTGGAGGACAGGGTACTGGGGGGCTGCTCTATCACTTCTCCTACCTCAGGGACAATCCTTCCTCCAATATCCCTCCTGGTCGTATCTTGGGCAAGGTCCTGGAGGTGTCCGTCTTGGGGGCTTCCTCTGAGGGGGGTACCCTGGGGAGGCACTCCTTGGACCAGTGACCCTCATGGTGGCATCAAAAGCAGGTTTTCCCACTGCCCAAGTTGCCAGGAACACCCTTGGGTCTTTCCCTGACCATGGCAGCAGCCAGGAATTGAGCATGTTCTTTGTCTCTAGCCCTCTGCTATGTTCTTTCTCCTCTGCTGAAACTAGGTCCCTGTTGTTAAAGACTCCAAAGGCAATCTCCAATAACTGAGCCTGAGGTGTTTGGGGTCCCAGTGGCAATTTCTGTAGTTTTCTCCTAGTATCTGGGGCAGATTGGTTAATGAAATGCATGCCAAGGATTGCTGCCCCTTCTAGAGAGTCAGGATCTAAATTCATATACTTTTTAATGCCTTCTACTAGCCTATCTTGGAAAAGGGCAAGGTCTTCCTTTTCTTCCTGAGTAATTCCCTTAATCTTTTGAAAGTTTACATGCTTTTGAAAGGCCGTTTTCAGGCCTTCTAAGAGGCAAATTATCATGTAGTCCCTCTTTCCCCTATCCTCACTCTTCTGATAATCCCACCCCGGATCACTAGCAGGAACAGCAGCTATTCCTGGGGGGTATTTTGTTGGGGTCATTGCTAGCAAAACGATCTCCAAAGCTTTGGGCTTGTTCCCAGATTCTTTTCCTCTCCTCAGTGGTACAACAGGTAGAGAAGAGGACATGCAAATCACCCCCAAGAAAATTCAAATTGTAGGGACACATCCCTGAAGCCCTCAGTAAATTTAGTTGGATCTTCAGAGTATCAACCCAGCCTTTCCTTAATCTGAGTGAGGTCTGAAATGGAGAATGGAACATGTACCCTAAGTGTCCCATTAGGAGAGGCAGGTACTTCCCTTAAAGGAATAAGCCCTGAAGGCCTTTTGGGAGCAGGGGCTTGTGGGGGAGTGAGGTAGGAAGTCCCACTTCTCGTGAGTGAGGGACTGGAAAGTGCCAGCTGAACTGGCAAGGCCGAGGAATCTGGCTGGCAAGGGGGAAGATTACCTGACAGCAGAGGAGGGGGAGGGATCAGGGAAGAAAGACGCCACAGCGATACCCTTGTCTGGAGCCTGAGGAGGGGTCCCATCTGAAGTAGAGATGTGGGGAGGAGGCACCGAGTTGAGAACCTTGTTCGGAGCTTGAGCTAGGGTCTCTCTGAAAGTAGAGGCTGAGGTGAGGCCCTTGCTCAAGGCCTGAGTAGAAGTGGCCTCTAGAGGGGCCTGGGGAGGATGGGGAACAGCTGGAGAGGCCAGAGGAGAATGGGGTGGAGATAGGTGCTGGGGAGGTGGTACAGACAGAGATTGGAAAGAGGGGGATGCCATAACCCTAGGAGCCATAAGAGGATTGTCCAAAAGGTCCATTTGGTCCCCACTCACAACTAGTGGGGTGGCTCTAGCTACGAGCATCTTACAATCCTTTCTGAGAATGGGATCTCTAGAAAGCTCAACAAAAGCCATTAAGTAAGAAATCTCCACCCATTTTCTTTCTCTGTGACAATATTTTTCCAACTCTAGAGGGTCTTTACCTGTAATGTCCCAAAACGGGGCCATGCCTCACAATTTTCCAGGTGATACTGAGGTCAAACGATGTTACAAAAATGCACCAGCTTTTTCTTTTTAAGTTCTTTACAGAAGCTAAGATTTTTCCAATTTAGTAAAAGACAGCCCAAAGGCGAATTTTTGGGAAACGAAAATGATTGACCTATTGTGGGCTTAGGGAAAAGAAAAAAAATATACATCCAACAGTTTCCCAATTCCCTACCGCCAAGAGAACTGAGAAGTTTGAACCTATGCTTCCTGATAGGGAGTCCATCCTCTATGCTAAGGAAGGTGTATACTCAGGTCCAAGTGCCCCAGCAGAGACACTGGACCAAAAAGCCTGAGAGCTTCAGGCAGAATTGGGGAGGGGGAGGCTTACCAATCGTGGCTGAAGAAGAGTTTGAGATTTGGCAGTTATTTTCCCGGTGAGGGAACCAAATGAAGAGATCTAGGACTTTTGGGGTGCTGCTGGAACCCCAAGATCACGGTACTGGGCCCTGCCTGAGAGAATTCAACTCAAATCTTCTTCAGCCAGAGGAAAAGTTTATTAGTGATAAAACACTTAGGCCAGGTGACGCCCTTAAGGACAAGTGGGCATGAAAGGTTCTCAGCCTTGTGAGCCTGAGATTATCAGCCCCAAATGAGGGCCAGGGCAGATCTTATATGCTTTGGGTGACCAGGGAAAGGTCTGGGAAAATGGTCTGGGAAAAGGGTCTGGGTGAGAATTCCCAGAGACTGGAATGTCTAAGAGATTGAATAGACAATGGGAATTGATAATGAAGGAACTGAAAGGTATCTGAATGAGATTAAAAGGTAGGCTAAGGCTTTCAAAGGCAGATGAGGGGCTGGGGCCTGTAGACAAGGGGAGCCAGATTCCCTTTGGGGCAAGCGGTGAAGACCTAGGCTTGGGCCACACCCCATCACTGTGACTTATTAATAGACCTGTCCCCCTGTTGTAGGCTCCATGAAACATGGAAAGCATTGTGTCTCCCCAACTGCCTAGCTCGGTGCTCTGTGAGCCATAGGTGCTTAATAAATGCTTTCTGAATTGTCTTTGTTGCCGGGCAAGGCTTCCCAAGGGCAAACTACCCTCAACCTAAGTATTAGGATCGTAACTTGTAGCCACCAAATTAGACTGTCAGAGCTGCAAGCCACCTTCAGTTCAGATCTCCTAGTCTGACCTCCTCATTTTAAAGATGAGGCAATTTTGGTCCGTTTCTTCTTTCACAAGATGACTAATATGGAAATCTGTGTTACCTGATGGCACATATAGAACCTATGTCAAATTGCTTTCTGTTTTAGGGAGAGGGGAGGGGAGGAAGGGAGAAAAATCTGGAACTCAAAACTTTGTAAAAATGAATATCAAAAGTTGCCTTTATATATAACTGGACAAAATAAAATACTATTAAAACAAAGAGGAGGAAACTGAAAGTCGCTGACCAACATCCTGTCAGAGCAGGAACTAGAATCAAGCTCTTGGGACTCCCAACCCAGGGCACGATTCCCTATACTTCTGGGGAGATGCAGAACCTCCGGGTTATTGATGATTGTTGCTTCTCCCTGCCTCCCGCCATCCCCAGTGCACACTGGAGGTCTTTAGCAGCAGGGGTACCCCCGTCCCTCTCCACTGTTTGTATGGGTTTGGACCCTACGGTTCGTAGATTCGTAGATTTAGGGATGGAAAGAGAGCTTAGAGGCCATGTCGTACGGATGAAGAAAATGTGGCCCAGAGAGTTTGTGGCTTTCCCAGAGCAGACACTAAAAGCCAGAGCCAGGATCAGAATCAAGATGGAATCCACACATCACAAGTCCAGCACCAGTGGGAGGAAGGGGCGTGGGAGGGGGAAATGAGGTAAAAAGAGAGCTGGATGGACAGCTTTGCTTCCCAGAAGACCTGCAGGTGCACGAGAGCCAAGGGGATCAAAGGCAGTCTTAAGCATTCTCTGAGATTGATCCACTGGGGAGTGCAGGTAGGATTGAAATACAGCATTTTCTGAGAAAGCCAAGAAGCAACTATTCCCAGGAGATGATTAGAAGCTGCAAGAGGGCGGGACCTTTTTGTTTAGTTAGGTGGGTGGCGTTGAAGGAAATAGAAGCCAAATTACTATATTCTAAATGGGTCTGGGAGCAAGGGGGTGTGTGTGTGTACCTCCGTGACAACAGGCCACCCACTGGCCCAGATTAGTCTAATTTTAGAATAGGACCAAGCACTGGTAAGTATGAATCTTGTGACTGAGAGGGAACCCAGCCTGGAAATGATGAAGAACTGACTGCCTTTCCAGGTGGGAGGTGCAGCCCCTAATAAAGGGAGCCCAGAGCCTTTGAAGGGAACCTGTGCAGAGTACTTCTCTCCGTTGGCAGCCTAGTGAAGTGGAAAAAACCCTGGACCTGGGATCAAAGGACCTATGTTGAAATGCTTTTACCTAAATGGTTTTAGGCAATGGGCTTAACCTGCCTGGACCTCCATTTTGTCTTCTATAAAATCAGGGCATTGAAATAGATCACTTCTGGGTGCTCTGGGCCATAATAGGAGATCTAGGATTAGGTATTCCAGTTTTTAGCTCAATCCAGTTGATGTGTTCTCCCCACTGCCCTTTAGTAATTACACTCCCCCTCTACCTCTCCCTCCAGGACCATTCCCCCCCACACACACACAAACACCCCACAAGAGCCTAGACCACTAAGAGCTAGGTGGTTTGGGAAGGGATGATGATTGAGAAGAGGGAAAATGGGAGAGTGAGGGGCTTTACTACAGGTGGGGGGAAGGTGAGTGGGAATGAAACAGAATTCCCACTCTCTGCTCTAACCTCTGGGGGTCCCTCCCATTGGAGCCTAGCAGGCCAAGTACCCGCCATCAACCAGGATGCCTGAGCCATTGACCATGGCGCTCTTGTCACTCAGAAGAAAGAGGATGCCGTAAACCACGTCCTCTACCTCTGTAAGAGGAAGGGATAAAGTTAGAGGAAGGGCTTCTCCTCAAAGTGGGGAGTTAGAGAATGGAATTATAGAAATAGGTATATTCAGCAGAGGTATTGACTTGGGCCTGGGGCTCCTTCCCTCCTACCCTAGTAATATCTGGAAGTCGTGGGTTGTGGGGGTTTGGCAGAGAAGGGCTTTATGGAAAGAGCAGAATGTCCACAGCACAACCCAGTCTAGCCCACCCTGCTATGCCCTGGGTCTGTGGCTTTCTAGTGCCAAGGTCCGGTAATTCTCTGATGAAGTCCTGCTAAGGAAGGGTGCCAACTGAACACTGGCCACCTCCCACCCCCACTCCCACAGATACATACATACCTGCAAATTTCTTCAGGGGAATGCGTTCCTTCAGGGCGTTAGCAAATTCCACATTAGTAGCGAACTTTCTGCCCATGTGAGTGAGGACCAATGTGGGATTCACTGTATTTACCCGGATCTGAGACCCAAAAGAGGCAGCCCTCAGCCTGGGCTTTTCTGTCCCCAGGTTCCAGACTCACTGTTCCCACAGGCCCCACTTGTCTTTGCTCCTTACCTCAGCATCAATCCTTGTAGCCCCCTTCCCCCAAAGCTTCCCACTAGTCCAGAGCTCTCACCTTGTGTGGCCCAAGCTCCAGAGCCATAATCTTGGTCAGCATGTCCATTGCACCTTTGGTGGAACCTAGAGGAAGGAAGGAAAGGAGAAAAACCACAAGGAGCCCAGTCTGGGAGAAATCACACTGCTTTTCCTAAGGCTGAGTGATTCTTACCCTTAGGAGAATTGTGTGGGACTTCCGGGTCAAGTGGGAAAACCAGGGCTTTAGAGGGGAAGAAGGAGAGAGGAATAGAAGGATTATAGAGTTAGAAGGAAGCATAGAAAACTAGGCATAGACCAACACCTTACACCCTACACCAAGATAAAGTCATAATGGGTACATGATTTAGATATAAAGGAGAGCAAACTGGGAGAGCAAGGAATAGTTTACCTGTCAGATCTATGGAGAAGGGAAAATTTTATGACCAAACAAGAGATAGAGAACATCATGAAATACAAAATGGATGATTTTGATTACATTAATTTGGGGGGGGTTGTTTTTTTGTTTTTGGCTAGGCAATGGGGTTAAGTGACTTGCCCAGGGTCACACAGCTAGTAAGTGTTATGCATCTGAGGCCGGATTTGAACTCACATCCTCCTGACTTCAGGGCCGGTGCTCTATTCACTGTGCCACCTAGCTGCTCCAATTTTGATTACATTAAATTGGAAAATTTTGCACAAAAAAGTCAGTGCAACTAAGATTAGAAGGGAAGCAGAAAACTGGGAAACAATTTTTACAGCCAGTGTCTCTGATAAAGGCCTCATTTCTCAAATATATAGAGAACTGAGTCAAATTTATAAGAACACAAGCCATTCCCCAATTGATAAATGGTCAAAGGATATGAACAGACAGTTCTCAGATGAAGAAATTACAGCCCTCTGTAGTCATATGAAAAAATGCTCTAAATCATTATTGATTAGAGGAATGCAAATTAAAACAACTCTGAGATACCACATCACACCTATCAGATTGGGTAACATGACAAAGCAGGAAAATGATAAATGTTGGAGAAGATGTGGGAAAATTGGAACACTAATGCATTGTTGGTAGAGTTGTGAATTGATCCAACCATTCTGAAGAGCAATTTAGAACTACGCCCAGCAATACCACTTCTAGGTCTCTATCCCAAAGAGATCATAAAAATGGGAAAAGGACCCACATGTACAAAAATATTTATAGCAGCTCTTTTCATGGTTGCCAAGAATTGGAAATTGAGGAGATGTCCATCAACTGAGGAATGGCTGAACAAGTTGTGGTATATGAATGTAATGGAATACTATTGTGCTATAAGAAATGATGAGCAGGCAGACTTCAGAAAAACCTGGAAAGACCTACATGAACTGATGCTGAGTGAAGTGAGCAGAACCAGGAAAACATTGCACACAATAACAGCCACATTGTGCAATGACTAACTTTCATAGACTTGGCTCTTCTCAGCAGTATCTAAGGATCTAAGACAACTCCAAAAGACTCATGATGGAAAATGCTATCCACATCCAGGGAAAGAACTGTGGAGTCTGAATGTAGATTGAAGCATTCTGTTTGCTCTCTTTTTGTTGTTGTTTTGTTTTGTTTCTTCTTTCTCATGGTTCCTCCCATTGGTTCCAATTCTTCTTTACAACATGACTAATGTGAAAATATGTTTAATATGTATAAGTAGAGCCTATATCAGATTGCATGCCATCTTGGGGAGGGGAGTGGGAAGGGAGGGGGAGAAAATTTAAACTCAAAAGCTTATGAAAGTGAATGTTGAAAACTAAAAATTAATTAATTAATAATAATTTTTAAAAAAGAAACATCTATCTATCTATCTATCTATCTATCTATCTATCTATCATCTATCTATCTATCTATCTATGAAAAGAAGGGACCATAGAGTTCTGTTAGGGTCCAGTCTCTTTGTTTTAGAGAGGACCAAATCACTTCCTCTCTGTGGGCCTCAGTTTCACCAAAGTTACACAGGTGTCAAAATCAAGATCCAGACTAGCTCTTCTTCAGATACTGAATCCAATGCACTGTCCCTCAAACTGAGCTGAAAGATGGACTCAAGCTCTGCCCAGGGACTTAGGACCAGGGACTGATTCAGGGACTGGGTAGAAGCAGTGGTAAGCAGAGGGGAAGAGAAGGCACTCACTGTAGCTGGTCAAGTTGATAACAGCAGCCCTAGAGACCATACTGGAGACATTGACAATGGATCCTGGGACCCCTCGAGCAATCATCCCTTTGGCAACCATCTGGGAACCAGAAGAAGGAGAAGAGTACTGATCACACTGCTTTCCACCCCTCAGAGCCATAACTAGAGTGAGCTAAGTCAGTTTTGTCCTAGATCTTCAAAATTTAGAGGGCCTAATGTATAGTTACTGTGGTAACTAATTCCCTCTCAAATGCTTTAATTACTTCTTTAAAAAAATATTATTTAAAACTTAATGTTGAACATCACTATGACCAAGTAAACTTGCTTATAGCTATTTTACCTCTAAATGTATTAAAATAAATTCATAAAATGTCACTTCCTCTTAAATTCCCATCTGAATTTTGTTTATTCATTTTCATTTATTTTTCCTCTTATCTGGTAGTAGTAATAATAATAATTTTTGTTGTTCAGTCATGAACAACATGTCATGACCCTATTTGGAGTTTTCTCGGCAAAGATACTGGACTGGTTTGACATTTCCTTCTCTAGCTCATTTTACAGAAACTGAGGCAAACAGGGTTAAATGACTTGCCCAGGATCACACAGTTAGTAAGTGTCTGAGGTCAGATTTGAACTCATGAGGATGAGTCTTCATGATTCCTGGCCCAGTGTTCTATACATTGTACCACTTAGCTGCTGTCAATAATAGTAATAATAGCGAGCATCTATATAGCACTTTAAGGTTTGCAAAGATCTTTATAAACATCTCGTTTGATCCACACAACAACCCTATGAGATTAATGCTATTACTGCTATTAATGCCATCATTAGCCCCATTTTACATTTGAGGGAGGTGAAGGAAGCAGAGGTTTGCCCAGGGTCACACAGCTAGTAAATGTCATAAGGTCACATTTGAACTCAGATCTTTTTGACTCCAGGTCCAGTGTGCTATCTACTGCATCACCTGGCAGTAAATCTGTTCTTTTGGCTCCTTCCCTTTCACACTTTGCCCTGATTTGCTTTCACAAAAATCTCAGAATTGGCAAAGAACATCTAGGCTCAGACCATGGGGTTCAGCCCACACCTGAGCAGGAACTTCTACAACATAGGAAATCAGTGACTATCCAATCAGTCTGTCTTTGAAGACCTCCTACACAGGGCAATCCACTCCTTTCTCCTGAAGCAGCCCAACAGAACTCTGCAGACAAGTAGCATTTTGGCTCTTGATAATTTGTTTCTTCTTTCAAGAACTGCCTATTTACTTGTTTCCCCCTCTTTTCTATTGAAGAATAGATTCTACAAAGGTTCTTCCAAATTTCACTATATTCTTCATATTTGTTGGTCTTAACTACGTTATAATATCCCATTCCATTCATGCGACACCATTAATTTAACCAGTCTCCTATTATTGGACATTTAGTTTGTTTTAATTTTTTTTTCTTCTCTCTTCTTTCGTTCTTTCTGTTTTTTTGCAACTTTATATAATGGAGTCAGGATGCTAGGTAGTGAAGTAGATAAGAGTGCTAGTCTGGAAGGTGCATTTTCCTGAGTTCAAATCCGACCTCGGACACCTATAAGCTGTATGACCCTGGGCAAGTCACTTAACCCTATTTGCCTCAGTTTCCTCATCTGTCAAATGAGCTAGAGAAGGAAATAGCAAACCACTCCAATGTCTTTTCCAAAGAAAACCCCAAATGGGATCACGAAGAGTCAAGCACAACTGAAATGACACAATGACGACAACGTAATGTAGTCATGAAAGTCTACGCATGAGTCGTGTGTATATGTATGTGTGTGTTTTAATAACACTTTCAGGGCATATTCTCAAAAATGGATTTATTAAGTAAAAAATTAACTTTTATTGGGCTTGCCAGAGTACTTTCCAAAAAGAGCTTGCAATTCTACTGGCAGTAAATACGCGTCTATTTCATATATTATTTTAGAATCATGAATTACGAAGTCCATTAGAGGCCTATTTACTCCAGACTTGCTGATTGATGACTCCAGGCAGCAAGACTGTAGTCACCCTGACCTCTGTAAGACCCTGAAAGCCCACCCCCAGCCCAGCATCCTTACCTGGGATACCTGGATCACAGAGCGAAGGTTCACATTGATGGTCCTGCAGGCAAACCCCCTGTCAGTCACAGACTCCTCCCTTCCCCCAGCTTTCATGGTATATTTAGAGCTGGAAGAAACCTTAGATATCATCTAACTCAATTCCTTCATTTTACAGAGGAGGAACCTGAAGCCCAGAAAGAGGGAAAAGCATGGCCCAAGGTCGAATAAGTATTTAGTAGCGGGGCTGAGACCTTGTTTCCCATTGCCTTACCCCAGCTCTCCATCAACCCTACTCTCCCGTTTCCCCAGCGTTGTCTTTCCCTCCCCATCCACTTCCATATCGGCACAGAGGGTCTGCTGTTCTTCTCCCTGACCTATCTTATAGAAGGGAGTGGAGGGGGACCCAGCTCTCAGGCCTTTCTTTTCTGTTTTGGTTTATATCCTAGGTCCTTGAACCGTAGCCCCAGTCAGAGTTCCCTTCAAACCTCCAGAACTGTCTTCTTTTCTTATTCCTTCCCCCCTCCTTCTAATCTCATCCCTGACCTGTCAAAAGCCTCCTTGGAAACCTCCAAAAAGGGCTGCTCCAGAAGTACACCTGCATTGTTGACCAATAGGTCTATGGGGCCTATGTTTCCCAGAGCACGTTCAGTGGCCTCCCAGTCTCCCAGGTCCACGCAGACTGGCTCTATTCCTGGACACTGTGGAGCAAGAGAGGCAAGTGTCAGGAAGCTACCCCAGAGGGAAAAAAGGAAATAGGAAATAGGAAGAGGGAGGTGGAGGGGAGAAAGGTAGAAGGATATAGGACAAAGAGAAAACAGAAGTGATACATGTGACCTTGGACCAACCTCTCTACACCTCTGTATCCTCATTTGTAAAATAAGGTGATTGGATTAGATGACTTAAGGTCACTTTCAGTTCTAAATTTTAATATCCTATGATCTTATGACTCAAGAGCTTAAGGTATGTGATAGACCAGAGCTTAGAACTAGCTCAAGGAGATAGAAGTTGGCCTAATATGGAAATTTAGCAGATCTCTGTTCATTTATTTTATTTCTGGCGAGGCAATTATTTATTTTATTTATTTTTAGTGAGGCAATGGGGTTAAGTGACTTGCCCAAGGTCACACAGCTAGTGTCAAGTGTCTGAGGGCGGATTTGAACTCAGGTCTTTCTTACTGTAAGGCAGGAGCTTTATCCACTGAGCCAACTAGCCATCCCATTTAGCCAGTCTTTGAAAGTTCAGTTAGCAGCTTAAAAACAACCTGAACCAAGCTTTTGGTTAATAAGAACAATTAGTGAAAAACAGATAGTTTCCAGATGGCCTGTTTCTACTCCCTAATTCAGCCCCCTTCTCCTCCTCTTCTTCCGTAGCAGATTCTCAGTGTCCCTAGACTCTTGAGGTCCAGCGTCCTTCAGGTCTCTGCTTCATCCCTCCAACACACAATGTTGAGCGTTTAAGGGTGCTGGGACCCAGAAATAGTAACATAGGTCCTGCCTCAAATGAATTCTACTCATAGCCTTCTTTCAGCCAGAGACAAGGTTTATTATACGACCAATAGAAGTGGGCCAGACGCTTAAGGAATTTGAGTATTTGTGAGCTTGTCCATACAAGCAGGCCAGATTGAATGTGAGCACTTTAATGGAGGCAAAATGGACCTTTTATACAGTGATCTAGAAGTGGCCAAGCAGTCTGGGAACAGAGAAGGGGTCTAGATGGAATTAAGGGTGGGAAGTGGCTCAGAGACAATGAAGGAGTGGCTAGGTTAGAGGTAACAGAGAATTGGGAGATTGGGCATAGGCCACAATGAAAACCCAGTCATGAGGATTACTGGGATGGGTAGATGCCTCAGGCAAACACCAGAGACATGACCACGTGGGAAAATCAAGGAGAGTTCGAGGGGGTTGTCTCATACCCGTTAATATGGGGTGGCATCTGAGGACCTGGTGCCTGCTGGCTTCAACAGAATTATCTTTAAAAGTTGGTTAAAGCGAGAGTTCTTAACCTGGGATACATTACCTTTTTTTTTAATTTGATAACTCTTTTGATATAATTGGTTTCTTTTGTGATATACACTTTGCATTTTATTTTATGCATTTAAAAACACATTTTGAGAAGGAGTCCATAGTTTTCATGATACTCATGAGAAGGGGTCCAAGACTCAAAAAAAGTTAAAAAGTCTTCATTTAAAAACATGTTTGATTCCCCACGCCAAGAATCATCAGTACTGCTCGGCATGGGTATGAGATTTGGAGGGTGGGGGATGGGGTTCAGGGCAGAACTTTCTTACCTCCTTGGAAAGGCTGACCAGATCCTCATTAGTCCTGCTCACAGCCACCACCTGGGCCCCAGAATCATGCAGCGCCTTCACTGTATCCCTTCCAAACCCTGTAGGGGGAGGGGGGGCAAAGGGATCTTCTGTACCCCAGGTCTACTGTCTCTGTTGCCCCCACTGGGGACACAGAATTCCTTCAAGATGACAGCTGTGGTCCCTCACCTTCCCCCCCAACCAAACCATCATAGCTGGAGTACTGGACGCACCAAGAATAACCTGGACACTTAATTATATAAACTTCTGTTGTCCCGCACTGAGGGAAAGGGACACTGTGAACCCCCAACACAGCTCAACTGTGTTCATCCTTTAAAAACAGCTAAAAAGCTATTTTAATTTAAAATTATTTTACTTAAAATATAAAATTAAAATTTTAAAGCTATTTTAATTAAGCTTTAAACTGCCTTAAGGCTTTAGGAACATGTTCTATCTATAAGACTAAACAACATCCTCTAGCCTGAGCAAACATTCTTCTCTTCCCTGACCTATTTAATACCCCAGGTTCGAATGGAATCAAGTTCAGATTTCTTTGCAGAGATGTGGGCTCTTAGGAAATGCAGTGTCTCATGTTTTCCTTTAGAATAATCTAAAGGTAAACATACATTCCTGTCCAATTAATGTATACTAGCTTTGTTCAACAAACTCTTTAGAGACAACATCCTTCCCACCCTTCTGATTTCCCCTGAACTTTGAACTTTGTTTTTCTTTCAATTTTGAAAGGAAAAAAAAATTTTGTCCCTAAGAGCCTTCTTAACCAACCCTTCTCCCCCTCTTCTGACCCCTCCAGCAGCACTGGGAGCAGGCTTGCAGGATTTCCCTTCCGGTCTCTTTTTTTCCTAGACATCCTAGGCTGTGCCCTGCACCAAATTCTTCAGGTGCGGCTGACATAAACCTGATTTTGGCAAGGAGGGTTGGGTGAGGTGGGTAATGACTTAGCCTTAGGACTCATGGCAGAATCTAAGGATTTCTGTCAAACCTTTCATCATTGTCATTGGTGTTGACTGGTTTCAGTTTTGTCCATGACCCCATTTGGAGTATTCTTGGCAAAGGTACTGAAATGGTTTGCCTTTTTCTTCTCTAGCTCATTTAACAGATAAGGACACTGAGGCAAACAGGGCTAAGTGATTTGCCCAGTGTCACATAGCTGGTAAACATCTGAGGCTAGATTTGAACTCAAGTCTTTCTGACTCCAGGCCCAGAGCTCCATCCACTGCACCATCTATTAACCTAAGGCAATGTGAAGCATCCTCAAATCCCTACCCTAAGCTCTTTACAAAGTACTAGGGATGAGGGAAAAGGATGCTTTTAGCCAGGACACAGGATGGGTTCAGTCACACTACTCCCAAATACACAATGCACCTCATACCCTGAACTTCTAAACCAGAGGTTCTTAACCTGGGGTCTACGAACTTCAAAAAATATATGTTGATAACTGTATTTCAACATAATTGTCTTTTTTTGTAATTTTATGTATTTTATTTTATGCATTTAAAAATACATATGTTATTCTGAGAAGGGGTCCATGGGCTTCAGAAGAAGGGGTTCCTTATGGCAAAAATATAATCTAAGCCAGACTCTCCCCAACATCTTAGTGACTTTCTCAGCGTTTCAGCTGGGAGAATATCATCTTGCCCCTTCTTGCATATTTCCCATAATCTAGGCAACATTTGGGAAGTTTTGGAGTCCTGGAGCTGAGTGCACCCTGTCAACTCTTCCCCCGTTTGTTCTCACCTTTCCCTGCCCCGGTCACGAGGGCCCTGAGTCCACTGAAGTTGATCTGCATAGTGCTGGAAGGAGAGTCCAGGACAGGTAAGTGGCTCCTCCAGAAAGGGTGAGTTAATATGCTCATAGGGCTGGCTTGAGGCCAGAGAGCAAGAGGCAGGGCTAGATAATCCTGAAATAGGCCCCACCCAATGCAAGAATCAGTGCCAAGGTTATGTGAAGGTGAAACTATTGACATCTAGCTGCGTTTTTGAGGATAGGGATGGGTGCAGGTAGGGGAAAGTTGCATCAGAATTATGGTTCTCCCAGGATACCCACCCCCCAACCCTAGTGGCGGGGGAGGGGGTAGCACAGGGTACCAGGAAAGACCGAGGTCTCTGTAGTCTTTAAATAATATCTATTCCTTTGGTACCCTACCTTAGCTGAAGCTCCAAGTATAATGCTGGAAATAACAAGAATTTGAAAAATACTTATAATTAATGCAATGAATATTTGTTGATTGACTATTGGATTGTAGACTTGAACAGCAAATACGCAAGCATTTAATAAGAACCTACTATGTGCCAAGCACTGGGCTAAGTGCTTTACAAACAACTCATTTATTCCTTACAACAACCCCAGGAGGTTAGGTGCTATTTTAAGACTCATTCTATAGTTGAGGAATCTGAGGCAGACAGAAGTTATATATCCAGGGTCACACCCTAGCATCTGAAGCCACATTTGAACTCAAGTCTTCCTGACTCCAGACCCAGCAATCTATCCACTGGGTCACCTAGCTACCTGAATTGAATTCCCTTCTAAATTGGATTTTGACCTCTGAGTGTTCCTGGGAGATGGGAGCCAGAGGGATCAGAGTACTGCCTGGTACATAGGCCTTCCTTTCACAGGGCTAGGAACAGTGATCTCCTTTTAATTGATCTCTTCTCAGCTCCCTCATCTGGGACATTGCTACCAGTCAGAGAGGTAACTATGAGGGTTAAATGAGGCTGTTGTTTACCAAGACCCTTCCCAGTTGCCCCTCTCTTTCCGGCTGCTCATGCTGGGTCTAAGACACTGTTTGGCACCCATTGGCATTCCAAGGCGCCCAGAATCCCTCCGGGTGTGTTTTTCAGACATGGTGATTGCTTCCTAGATTGTCTGGATGCAGAACAAAACCTGGCACACTACCCAGCTCACACCATGTTCCTGCCTTTGAGGGTCTGACATTTTTTGTTTGTTTGTTTGTTTTAGGCAATGGGGTTGAGTGACTTGCTCAGGGTCACACAACTAGTAAGCATTATGTGTCTGAGGTCAGATTTGAACTCGGGTCCTCCTGAATCCAGGGCCAGTACTCTATCCACTGTGCCACCTAGCTGCCCCAAGGGTCTGACATTTTAAGATGGGGCAATGCACTCCTCTGAGAAAGGCTGTGAGCTCACCCTTTCCATCTAGACCTAGTAGATCTTTTCTATCACTGAACCAAACTGGACTCTTTCCCCGAAACTTTGTTGCATCCAAAGACCAGCCATGGCCCCAGTAAAAGATATTTAGAACTGGAAGACATCACCTAACAAAGCCCTCTCTGGTTTTACAGATGAACAAAACTGAGGCTCAGAAAGGTTGAGATCATAGAATCAGAGCCAAACAGCAAATTAATAAGAGGTCCAGAGCTAAGACTATAACTAGTGTTCCTTTAGCCCATAAATCACTTTGACTCTATGTGGAGTGTTAGGACACTATCCATTCAAAGAGAGCTGGATCTAAGGAAACACTTCCTAATAATTAGAGGAATCCAGAGACATCTCAAAGGGCAGTTAGGTGGTACAATGGATGAAGCACCACGCCTGGAGTCAAGAAGACCTGAGTTCTGGATGTTGTAAAGCTGATATTTGGGATTAGAAGCTTCAGATCATTTTTCATCTGGCTGCATCAACACTTAATTGTATCTGTCAACAGAATTTTGAATACAGCACAGACTGAACTGGCCTCTAACCTAACCAGAGGCATGTATGTCAAGAATCAAGAACAGGTTTAATTAGTTTCAGAGTGAGGAAAACACTTTCAAGTGGAAGTCCTCCTGAGTAGGAGAGCTTTAGCATGTTGGGTACAGGCAATGCTTATATACACACTGGGCAAGTCTGTGACATAATCATTTTTAGTTCTTGAGTTACTGTTCCCACGGGTCCTTTGGGAACAGTATTGTCCCATGTCTTGGGGGTCATGAATACATCGGTGGGGTACAGAACCAGAGTTCTGTGCCAGAAACAGGAATACAACAAGGAACAGGGATTGTGAGCCTGAGATGTGATGGATGTTGGCTGTCAGGTTCCTGGGAAATAGAGGGAGTGAACATCTAGTACAGTACACTTTGCCAGAGAGTAAGATCATCCAGAGCTCAAAGGACTGTTGTTATGCCAAGCTTGGGGCACAGTCAGCTTGCTCTGGAAAACAAGGTATTTCCAAAATATTTGGACACATCAATCTTTCTTTGTGTTCTTCCAGCATCTTCCCAAGGATAAATATGTCATCCCGCAATTCTAGGTAGTTTGTAACTCCATTATCTATTGTTCTGCTGCTAGAGGATCAACAAATGTGAATTTCCCAGGATCTTTGAAAGAAGCCAATGCTTTTTTCATGGTCACTGTCACCATTTGTCTCTATTCTCCTGTAGATCTCTGCACTAACTGCACAGATGGTCAAAGTGTGTAGGTATCAGTTAAGATAGCTGCTCAGTAAGAAGACAGGTGTGTTCTCACAGTGTGAATAGTGCATGATACATTCCCAAGGAGTAACCCACAGGATCCAGCTAACCAACTCCCAACCGTTTTGGGGATGATCTAGGAAGATTCCTTTTTAAATTTTTTTTTTTTAGGCAATTGGGGTTAAGTGACTTGCCCAGGGTCACACAGCTAGTAAGTGTCAACTGTTTGGTCTGAGACTGGATTTGAACTCAGGTCCTCCTGACTTCAGGGCTGGCACTCTATCCACTGTGCCACCTAGCTGCCCCAAGGAAGATTCCTTTAACCATGATGAATGAAACTTGATGGTCAATGGCATGCCCACAGTTTTATAGCCCTTTGGGTCTATAGTTTCAAATTGTTCTCCAGAATGGTTGGACCAGTTTACCACTCCAGCAACACATCCCCTCTAGAATTTGTCATTTCTGATAGGTGTGAAGTGGTCCTTCATAGTTGTTTTAATTTGCATTTCTCTAATCAATAGTGATTTAGAGTATTTTTTCACATGACTATAGATAGCTTTGATTTCTTTGTCTGAAAATTGCGTGTTCATATCCTTTGACCATTTATCAATTGGGGAATGGCTCTTATTTTTATAAATTTGACTCAGTTCTCTATATGTTTGAGAAATGAGGCCTTTATCAGAGCAACTTGCTGTAAAAATTTTTGATATTACCTCATTGTCTATGGTACCTTTCAGCAAAATGTCATTTCTATGCTTATCTCTTTTAATTAGGTATATTTTTGTTTTTGTTTTGTCTAAGACCATGACTGCTACCCTTGTCTTTTTTAGGTCAGCTGAAGTGTAATAGATACTGCTCTAGCCCTTTGTTTTAACTCTGTGTGTCTTTCTGTTTCAAGTGTCTCTTGTTAACAACCTATTATCAAGTGTTTCTCTTATAAACATCATCCATTCTGCTATCCACTTCCATTTTATGGGTGAGCTCATTACATTCACAGTCATGATTACTAACTGTGTATTTTCTTCCATCCTGTTTTCTTCTGTTTGCGTTTCTCTCTCTCTCTCTCTCTCTCTCTCTCTCTCTCTCTCTCTCTCTCTCTCTCTCTCTCTTTTTAATCCCATCCCTCCTCAAAGATCTAATTTGCTTCTGTCCACTGCCCTCCCTTTTATCATCTTGGGTTCTCTTCTCTTTTTCCCTTCCCTTCCTATTTCCTTATTGGGTAAGATAATGTGAGAAATAATTCATTTGGACCCCCACTGTATTACAATCAGTTTGATATATTACATAAATCATATAAGGACAGATAGGTTGTCATAGTGGGCTTCAAATTTTAATGTAATATTTACTACTTGTTTACCAAGTTATGAGGCTTACTTGTACAACCACAAAGATAATCTCCATCCTGTTTTACTCAAATTCCATGTCTAAACCCAGCATGGGTGGATGTCTTGATGCTTTAGAACGTCCTCCAATTTGTTTTTGTAACTCTGGACCACTCTCTCTTGTCCATCTTATGACCATCTAGTAGTGGAGATGTCCCATGCTTCACCCAACCTGTGACTTTTCTGCTAATATGTCATTTTTGTACCTCAAGAGTAAGGTCTATCAACCAATGAGATAGTATATTTCACCATGCCTCTTTTCCATATTTAGAAACCCTATAAAAACAAGGCTCTAGAAGAAGAGGGCACCTCAGATCATGAGGAAGATCCAAGGTTAATTTCATTAAAGCCTCAGTTTCTTTTATTGTATGTTGATCAATTTTAATCCCCACATTAACAGCACCCCAAGATGGGATGGCAATGTGTGTACCTGAATCTCTTTAGGCCATCCCCTGCAAGGGACTCAAAAAAAAAAGTGTCCTGGGAAGTTGGATTGCCTTTGCTGCCTATACCCAAATTCTCTGAGCCTGAGGTAAGTCCCTTCAAGATTGGCGAGTCTGCCTTGATTTACCCTAAATTCATTTTCTTTAAGAAATGTCCCCAATTGGGATAAGAGGGGCTGTTTGAATTTGTGACTAATCTGTCTAAATTTATAAGCTCCAGAGCACTCAAATTCTATTTTTATAAAATTTATATGGCCATAATTTTAACTTTTTATACAAAGGCTACTGGTTTGTTTGTTTTTCCCCCCTCCATTTTCCTTACTTTCATTTTGTTAAGACCAAGGAGACTCAGCAGTTAAATTTTGAACACCTAGCTAATTTTATTTATTGATTTTTTGGAGGGGGCAGTGGGGTTAAGTGACTTGTCCAGGGTCACACAGCTAGTAAGTGTTATGTGTCTGAGGTCAGATTTGAACTCAGTTCCTTCTGAATCCAGGGTTGGTGCTCTATCCACTGCCCCATACCTAGCTAATTTTAAAACTTCCTGTTGGCAGGGCTAAAATAAATTTTT